AAAATTTGGGGAAAATGGGGCACTTTCAGACCCAAATGTGGCCTCAAATTCAGGGATTCTGCCCCAAAACTGAGGGGATTCTGCCCCAAATCAACCCCAAACCTCCCATCCTGCCCGTAGCTGTTGGTTGGGAGAGGAGAGAAAATGGAGGAGTTAGGGAAATTTGGGAATTTGGGGAAAATTTGGGGAAATTTTGGGGAAAATTTGGGGAAAATCGGGCACTTTCAGACCCAAGCGCGGCCTCAAATTCAGGGATTGTGCCCCAAAATCGAGAGAATTCTGCCCAAAATCAACCCCAAACCCCGCAGCTGCTGGCTGCAGAGTGGAGAAAAGGGCAGGATTAGGGAATTTTGGGGAAAATTTGGGGAAAATCGGGCACTTTCGGACCCAAACGTGGCCTCAAATCCAGGGGTTCTGCCCCAAATCAACCCCAAACCTCCCATCCTGCCCGTAGCTGTTGGTTGGGAGAGGAGAGAAAATGGAGGGGTTAGGGAAATTTGGGAATTTGGGGAAAATTTGGGGAAAATCGGGCACTTTCGGACCCAAACGTGGCCTCAAATCCAGGGGTTCTGCCCCAAATCAACCCCAAAAATGCCCCAATTTCACTCCAAATTTTGCTCAAAATGCTCAGATTTCACCCCAAAATCCCAAATATTTTAGGGAATTTCACCCAGACCCTTGGATGTGATTTTGGAGGGGTTGTAGGATGACTGTTCCCACCCCAAATCCCCCAAAATCCACCCCAAATCCCCCAAAATTGAGCCGATATCACCCAAAAATCGCCCGATTTTAATCCCGATTTTGCCCAAAATCCTCAGATTTCACCCCAAAATCCCAAATATTTTTGGGAATTTCGCTCAGATCCCAGGATGTGATTTGGGGGATGGTGTAGGATGACAGTTCCCACCCAAAATCCCAAATTTCACCCCAAATCCCCCAAAATTCAGCCGATATCACCCAAAAATCGCCCGATTTTGATCCCGATTTTGCCCATAATCCTCAGATTTCACCCCAAAATCCCAAATATTTTTGGGAATTTCGCTCAGATCCCAGGATGTGATTTTGGAGGGGTTGTAGCACAACCGTTCCGACCCCAAATCCCAGAATTCTACCCCAAAATCCCCCAATTTCACAGGAAAATTGACCCATTTCAGTCCCATTTCACACAAAATGCTCCAAATTTTGCCCAAAATCCGCACATTTCACCCCAAAATCCCCAAATTTTTTTTGGGAATGTCACTCACATCCCCCGGAGCTGTACTGGCCCTGCCGGCTGTAGCTCAGGGCAGGTTGTACAACGACTGTTCCCACCCCAAAATCCCACAATTTCAACCAATTTTGCTCCCAATTTCACTCCAAACACTCCCAATTTTAACCAAAATCCGCACATTTCACCCCAAAGTCCCCAAATTTTTTTTGGGAATGTCACTCACATCCCCCGGAGCTGTACTGGCCCTGCCGGCTGTAGCTCAGGGCAGGCTGTACAACGACTGTTCACACCCCAAATCTCACAAAATTCAGCCAATTTCACTCCCGATTTTGCCCAAAATCCGCAGATTTCACCCCAAAATCCCAATTTTTTTGGGAATGTCAGTCACACCCCCCAGAGCTGTACTGGCCCTGGTGGCTGTAGCTCAGGCCAGGTTGTACAACGACTGTTCACACCCCAAATCTCACAAAATTCAGCCAATTTCACTCCCGATTTTGCCCAAAATCCGCAGATTTCACCCCAAAATCCCCAATTTTTTTGGGACTGTCACTCATCCCCCGGAGCTGTACTGGCCCTGCTGGCTGTAGCTCGGGGGGGGGTTGTAGGAGGACTGTTGTCCATAGCTCTGCTGGTTGTAGCCCCCGCTCTGCTGTTGGTTGTAGCCCCCGCTCGGGGCCTGCCCGTAGCTGGAGCTGCCGGAGCCGCTGCCGTAACTGGGTGGAAAAAAGGGAATTTTAGTAAAAAATGGGAATTTGGGGGGAAAAAATGGGAATTGGGGACAAAAAAAACAGGGGGAAAGCGGGGGGGGAACACAGCAACAGGGGGGAGTTGCAGAAAAAATGTGGAATTTTCAAACACAGCTGGAATTTGACTGAAAAACAGCCGGAATTTCACCCAAAAATAACCGGAATTTCACCCAAAAAATAATTAGAATTTAACACCAAAAACCAACTGGAAGTTATCCCAAAAATAAGGAGAATTTCACCCAAAAAACAGCTCAATTTTGCCTGAAAAACAACTGGAATTTGCTCCAAAAATAACCAGAATTTCACCCCAAAACCAGCTCGATTTTGCCTGAAAAACAACTGGAATTTCACCCCAAAAAAACCCCAGAATTTCACCCAAAAAAACTAGAATTTCACCAAAAAAACACCTTGAATTTGACCAAAAACCACCCAAAAAACACTCGAAATTCACCCAAAAAACAGCCGGAATTTCACCCCAAAAACAGCCAGAATTTCACCCAAAAAACAGCTGGAATTTCATCCAAAAAACAGCTGGAATTCACCACAAAACAGCCAGAATTTCACCCAAAAAACAGCTGGAATTTCACCCCAAAAAACAGCTGGAATTTCACCCAAAAACAGCTGGAATTCCACCCAAAACAGCTCGAATTTCACCCCGAAACAGCTGGAATTTCACCCAAAACAGCTGCAATTTCACCCCAAAACAGCTGGAATTTCACCCAAAAACAGCTAGAATTCACCACAAAACAGCCAGAATTTCACCCCAAAACAGAGGCAATTTCAGCCAAAACCCACCAAGAATTCACCCCAAAACCAGCTGGATTTTCACCCACAAAACAGCTGGAATTTCACAAAAAAAAATAGATGGAATTTCATGAAAAAAACAGCTGGAATTTCACCCAATAAACAGCTGGAATTTCACCACAAAACAGCCGGAATTTCACCCCAAAACAGAGGGAATTTCACCCAAAACCCACCAAGAATTCACCCCCAAAACAGCTGGAATTTCACCCCAAAACCAGCTGGAATTTCACAAAAAAAAAAAGATGGAATTTCACCCCAAAACAGCTGGAATTTCACCAAAACACAGCCGGAATTTCACCCCGAAACAGCTGCAATTTCACCCCAAAACAGCCGGAATTTCACCCCAAAACAGCTGGAATTTCATCCCAAAAACAGCTGGAATTGGACCAAAATCAATAATTAATTAAGAATTAATTAATTAACGAGCTAGCAGACCCATAGGCAGCTGCGGGGGGCTGTGAGCAGCCAGGGTGGGAGGAGCTCTGGGGTCACTGGCAGTGACTGGGATGGGGTTTGGGTTAATGACAATGATCAATCACTACTAATTAACTAATTAACAATTAATTAATCACCTCCCAGAGGCCGAGGCAGCTGTGAGCAGCCAGGGTGGGAGGAGCTCTGGGGTCACTGGCAGTGACTCCCCCTGGCCGTAGCAGAGTCCCAGCTCTGGCTTTGGGGCAGTTTGGGCTCCAATGGAACAGAACAACGGGGATTTTTGTATTTTTTTGGGAATTTTGGGATATTTTAGGATAGTTTTTGTCACTCACCGCTCTGGCTCTGCCCGTAGGAGGAGCTGCACCCCCCTGGCCGTACCCCAGTCCCAGCTCTGACTTTGGGCAGTTTTGGCTCCAATGGAACAGAACAATGGGGATTTTTGGGATTTTTCCCTATTTTTGGGATATTTTAGGATAGTTTTTGTCACTCACCGCTCTGGCTCTGCCCGTAGGAGGAGCTGCACCCCCCTGGCCGTACCCCAGTCCCAGCTCTGACTTTGGGCAGTTTTGGCTCCAATGGAACAGAACAATGGGGATTTTTGGGATTTTTCCCTATTTTTGGGATATTTTAGGATAGTTTTTGTCACTCACCGCTCTGGCTCTGCCCGTAGGAGGAGCTGCACCCCCCCTGGCCGTAGCCCAGTCCCAGCTCTGGGTTTTCAGCAGGTTTAGGGTACAATGTGATACAAGGCTGGGGATTTTTGTATTTTTTTGGGAATTTTGGGATATTTTAGGATAGTTTTTGTCACTCACCGCTCTGGCTCTGCCCGTAGGAGGAGCTGTACCCCCCTGGCCGTAGCCCAGTCCCAGCTCTGGGTTTGGGCAGTTTTGGGTCAGTTTGGGCTCCAATGGGATAGAAGGCTGGGGATTTTTGTATTTTTTTGGGAATTTTGGGACATTTTAGGATGTTTCTCCTCACTCACCGCTCTGGCTCTGCCCGTAGGAGGAGCTGCACCCCCCTGGCCGTAGCAGAGTCCCAGCTCTGGCTTTGGGGCAGTTTGGGCTCCAATGGAACAGAACAACGGGGATTTTTGTATTTTTTTGGGAATTTTGGGACATTTTAGGATGTTTCTCCTCACTCCCCGCTCTGGCTCTGCCCGTAGGAGGAGCTGCCCCCCCCTGGCCGTACCCCAGTCCCAGCTCTGACTTTGGGCAGTTTTGGCTCCAATGGAACAGAACAATGGGGATTTTTGGGATTTTTCCCTATTTTTGGGATATTTTAGGATAGTTTTTGTCACTCACCGCTCTGGCTCTGCCCGTAGGAGGAGCTGCACCCCCCTGGCCGTACCCCAGTCCCAGCTCTGACTTTGGTCAGTTTTTGCTCCAATGGAACACAACAATGGGGATTTTTGGGATTTTTCCCTATTTTTGGGATATTTTAGGATAGTTTTAGGATGTTTCTCCTCACTCCCCGCTCTGGCTCTGCCCGTAGGCGGAGCTGTACCCCCCCTGGCCGTACCCCAGTCCCAGCTCTGACTTTGGGCAGTTTTGGCTCCAATGGAACAGAACAATGGGGATTTTTGGGATTTTTCCCTATTTTTGGGATATTTTAGGATAGTTTTAGGATGTTTCTCCTCACTCCCCGCTCTGGCTCTGCCCGTAGGCGGAGCTGTACCCCCCCTGGCCGTACCCCAGTCCCAGCTCTGACTTTGGGCAGTTTTGGCTCCAATGGAACAGAACAATGGGGATTTTTGGGATTTTTCCCTATTTTTGGGATATTTTAGGATAGTTTTAGGATGTTTCTCCTCACTCCCCGCTCTGGCTCTGCCCGTAGGAGGAGCTGTACCCCCCCTGGCCGTAGCCCGAGTCCGAGCTCTGCCCGTAGCCCCCGTAGCTCTGCTGGGAGTAGCCCTGCCCCCCTCCCTGCGAGTAGCTCTGGCTGGGGGGGGCGGGGTAGGCGCCGTAACTGCCGAAAAAAAAACCCAAAAAAACCCCAAAATTAGGAAAAATTCCAGAGATTTTTAAGGATGGGGAAGGGTTGGGAAAGGGGGAGGGGGGGGGGTTGTACCTTTGTGTCGCCGTCTGGCTGTAATCTGGGGAGGAAAGGGTTAAAAGTTGAGTTAATCGAGGGAAAATCGCTTCAATTAAATTTATTTGCCTTAATTAATTATACCTGGGGAGGAAAGAGTTAAAAAAAAAAAAAAAAAACCACGGGGACACTTAAAAAAAGTTTTCCCTGATTTATTACATCTGGGTAGGAAAAGGTTAAAGAGCTGAGGTTGATCAAGCAAAAATTGATTAAAATAAATAATTGTTCCCTAATTAATTCCATCTGGAAAGTGTTAAAAAAAAAATTGGGGTGAATCCAGCAGAAATCACTTCAAATAAATCGGTTTTTTTTTCCTGGTTAATTCCCCACGGGGACACTTAAAAAATGTTTTCCCTGATTTATTACATCTGGGTAGGAAAAGGTTAAAGAGCTGAGGTTGATCAAGCAAAAATTGATTAAAATAAATAATTGCTCCCTAATTAATTCGATCTGGAAAGTGTTAAAAAAAATTTGGGGAGAATCCAGCAGAAATCACTTCAAATAAATCGGGTTTTTTTTCCTGGTTAATTGAATATGGGCAGGAAAGGGTTAAAAATCTGTGGTTAATTAATCAGGAATCACTTAAGATCAATCTATTTTATCGAATTTATTCAGTCTGAGAAGGAAAGGGTTAAAAGCTCGTGGTTAATTAATCAGGAATCGTTTAATTTAAATGTATATTATTATTTGATTATGTATTTATTGATTATTAAAACAGCATTTTAATTATGGAAATGAGGGCGGAATTATCTTACAATTAACCCACTTTAATAATATTACTGATTATTAATTAAATACCTTCAAAGTAAGTCTTTAATTCTTTAAATATCTGTTAATTATTAATTATTTTTATTACAGAAGTAACACCAAAGTTATTTTACGACCAACCCACTTCATTAAAATGATTGGCTATTGATTAAGTGGCTTTAATTACAAAACAAATTAAGTTTTATCTTAAAATAAATCTATTTTTTACAGTAATTAACGCCTTTAATTAAGTCATTTCCCACCACTAATTACCAACAGCGTGGTTTTAAACACAATCATTCACCTTTCAATTATTTAATTTATTGCTCTTAACAATTAACAAACTCCTTTTATTACACGCAACAAAAATATCATTATATCTCAAAACAAATCCATTTTTTACATTAATTAACGCCTTTAATTAAGTCGTTTCCCACCACACTAATTACCAACAGTGTGGTTTTAAACACAGTCATTCACCTTTCAATTATTTAATTTATTGCTCTTAACAATTAACAAACTCCTTTTATTACACGCAACAAAAATATCTTTAAATTAATTAACCTCAAAAGTTAATTAACTAATAAATACTTTAAAATCAATTCTTTACATTATTAGCTGTGATTAGGGCGGTTTTAATTAAGAAATAGACACAAAAATAACTCCATTATTGTTAATACCCCTAGTTAATATTCATATCAGTCACTAATTAATGTAATCATTGCATATTAATAGGCTTTTAATTAGGAAAATTAGCACAAACCCAACATTAACTCCATGTATTTAAAGGGTTTTACACTGATTTTTATAAAGTGCTCCCTTAATGATTAATAAGACAAATTAATGACTTTAAAGATTTTCCCCACCGATTTCCATAATTAAAATCCAATCAATACCCACTTATCAATAAATCCATTTTTATTTCTTTATTTCTGTAATTAAAAGCACTTCATTAACCGATAATGAGAAAAACAATCACCCTGTTAAAACCTAAAAGCCCCTAATTTTATAAAATACTTCCAATTACAAAAATTTAATTAAAGAACTCGAAATAAACAAAACTTAACGAGCGTAAAAATAACATTTAAATAAAAAATCAATTAATTAACGGCGTTACTTATTAGCAGGAAGTCTCTAACTACAGAAACAGAATTAAAAGTGCCTTAAAATAAATATATTTTAACAATTTAATTAAGGTAATTAAGAGTAATTTTTGGTTTTAGGGCAGAAATAGCGAAATTTTGACACAAAATAAAGGAAAATTTGGGAGTTTCACCCACCCTAAAGCACCAAACCCTGATGAAGAGGGAAATTTCCCGCCCAAAAATAAAATTAACGATTTTATCCCCCAAAATCACCGCAAATTTGGATTTTAATTATAAAAAAAGTGAAACTAAAGATGAATTTTATTGTTTAAATGTGAAAAAGGACGGGAAGCCTTAAAGCCCCCTCAGGCTCAGCACAACGAAAAGGGTCTAAAATTCCGATTTTTACAGCAAATATCCGCTTCAAAAAGCACTCAGAGCTCGAATTTCATTATTTACGCGTCATAAAAAAATAAAAACTAAAATAAATTTAATTATTTAGACAGAAAAATTCCAAGAAAAAGTTAAAATTTTCCTCAGGCAGCGCACGACAAAAGGGGGTGTGAAAACACGTGATTGTAACAGCAAAAAGCGTCAAAAAGATCACAAAAACAACGAATTAAACAATTTATACGCGAAATTCAAAAGGATAAATTTAAACTTTAAATATTTAGATCTTCAAATGAAAGTACAATTTTAAAACTCCCCTCAGGCTTTGTCTAACAAAAGACGTGCCCCGGGGGGGGAATATTTGGACAGTCTAAAAACCTCCATTTACCATCGAAATTCTTTCAAAAAGTGACATTATCAGCACAATAAAACTCAAATTTAGTTATAAAACTTTGTATTTCGTTAAAATACTTTTAATTTTCCCTCAGAAATCCGCACCTAAGAGCGCGGGACTGAACCCTCCCCCTCACGACACGGCGGCGATTTCCCCTCACGCAGGGGAGAAACCGCGGGGGGGAATTTTTTTTAAGGTCGAAACCGAAGTTTTAGGGTTTAATTTCTGATGTGTTTGAATAAATTTGATTCGTTTGATTTGACCGATTTGGATTTAATTTGATTTAACGGAAGGACCCGGATGTGTCACTGCGGCAGCGGCGCCGCGCACGCGCCGCTCGCACAAAATGGCGGCGGTGGCGCAGAGGCAAAACCACAAAATGGCGGGCGGGGGAAAAAAGCGGGTCCCAGACCCCCTGAAACACCCCGGAATTAACCCAAAATCTCAACAAATTCCCGGGAATTCCAGACGAGATTCAAGTTTTTGGGTTAAAATTGGGAGTTTCGGGGTTAATTTTCTTCCCCGCTGCAGGCGTGCAGCATCCGGGCGCGGCGCTTTGTTCGGCCCCCGCCCCATCGGCGATGGTTTTAGCACAAAAATAACCCAGAAAAGCACCCGAAATTGGCGGTTTGGGTTTAAAACGTAAGTGTTAAAACGGGAAAATATTAAAAGGCAAAAGGAAAACAAATTAAAAACAAAAAATAGAGAAGTGAGGCGTGGCGGAAACGGGGCGGCATCAAACCCCACACAGCGCAAATCACACACAGTCCCAGAGCAGCGCTGACGGTGAAAAACCCACAATGAAACAACGCCTTAACTACATCAATTAACGATAAAATAATGACTTCAAAGAGCATTGATTAAAAACAACACAACCAACGCCGTTTTAAGTGCGGCGGCCGCCGGAACCCCCTCAGGTTTCCCCCCCACGGTGCTCCCAGACCGCGCTGGGCGCTGCAGCCCCCGCCCGCCCGCGGGGTCCCCGGGGCAAGGAGAGGTCTGTGGGGGTCCCTCCCCGAGGCTCGGGGGTCCCTGCCCGGGTTATAAGGGAGCTGAGGGGGTCCCCACGGCGCCGGTACCGTTGGAGGCCATGGCGGTGCCGCGCGTTCCGCGTCCGCTCCACGTGGCGCCCGCACTGCGCGCCCCGCGCGCCGGCCCGCCCATTTATAGCCTCGGCCGGCGCGTCCCACCCAGCGGCGCGCGAGGGGGGGGGAGCAGGGGAAGCTCCCCCTGGAGGTGGTACGGTCCTGGCGGGAAAAGGGGGCGGGAGGCAGAGAGGGGCTCCGCGCTCTGGCCGCGGCCAAAGGCGAGTGGACGTGCGGCGTGCTGCTGACCGTCCTGGAGCGGCTGGAGGGGCCGCCCCGGCCGGGGCCCTTCGGTGAGTGACCGCTGCGATGTCCGGCCGGGGCGGGGGTCACTGCGGGGGTCACTCCAGTGGTCACTCCAGTGGTCACTCCAGTGGTCATTCCAGTGGTCATTTTGGGGAGGATTCCCTGGTTTTCTCAGGTTTTATGACCCCAACCTCAGTGAGTGACCGCTGCGATGTCCGGCCGGGGCGGGGGTCACTGCGCTGGTCACTGCGCTGGTCACTGCAGTGGTCACTCTGCTGGTCACTCCAGTGGTCATTTTGGGGAGGATTCCCTGGTTTTCTCAGGTTTTGTGACCCCAAACCTCAGTGAGTGACCGCTGCGATGTCCGGCCGGGGCGAGGGTCACTGCGCTGGTCACTCCACTGGTCACTCCAGTGGTCACTCCAGTGGTCATTTTGGGGAGTTTTGGGAATTTTTCCTGTTTTTCCTAATTTTTATGACCCCAAACCCCAGTGAGTGACCGCTCTGATGTCTGGCCGTGGCCTGGGAGGGGTCAGTGCCCAGTGGTCACTCCAGTGGTCATTTTGGGGATTTTTGGGAATTTTTCCTGTTTTTCCTAATTTTTATGACCCCAAACCCCAGTGAGTGACCGCTCCCATGTCCGGTCGTGGCCTGGGAGGGGTCAGTGCCCAGCGGTCACTCCACTGGCCACTCCGTTGGTCACTCCAGTGGCCACTCCATTGGTCACTCCACTGGTCACTCCAGCGGTCACTCCATTGGTCATTTTTGGCCATTTTTTCCCATTTCCCCAGATTTTTACTACCCCAGTTTGATGAGTGACCGCTCCGATGTCCGGCCGTGGCCTGGGAGGGGTCAGTGCCCAGCGGTCACTCCACTGGCCACTCCGTTGGTCACTCCAGTGGCCACTCCATTGGTCACTCCACTGGTCACTCCAGCGGTCACTCCGTTGGTCATTTTTCCCTTTTCCCCAGATTTTTACGACCCGCAGCGCGACGCCGCCCCCGCGCACCGCTCGGACTGTCCGTGCTGCCGGCCGGAGCCGGGGTGGACGCGCCGGGAGGAGGAGGAGGATGATGAAGGACCCAAAAATGAGGACGAAGGCCCCGAGGATGAGGAGGAACCCAAATTCGAGGATGAAGGCCCTGAGGAAGAGGGGGGAGAAGCCAAAAACGAGGAAGAAAACCACGAGGATGATGAAGGAGAATCCAAAAACGATGATGAAGGCCCCGAGGATGATGAAGGACCCAAAAACGATGATGAAGGCCCCGAGGATGATGAAGGACCCGAATTTGGGGATGAAGGCCATGAGGAGGATGATGAAGAACCCAAAAACGATGACGAAGGCCCCGAGGATGATGAAGGTGGAGGCGATGAAGGCCCCGAGGATGACGAAGGTGGAGGAGGGGATGAAGATTAAGGGGGGGAGGGGCTGAGGAGGAGGAGGAGGGTGGGGAGGAAGATGATGATGAGGATGAAGACGAGGAGGAGTTTTGGGTCAAAAAAAGCCCAAAATGGAGCTTTGGGCCTCCATGAAGATGATGATGATGAAGATGAAGATGGCCTCCATGATGCTGAAGATGAAGATGAGGAATTTTGGGTCAAAACTAGCCCAGAATGGACACTTGGTTCTCCATGATGAAGATGAGGAAGAATTTTGGGTCAAAAAACGCCCAAATTGGACACTTGAGTCGTGATGATGATGATGATGATGATGAAGATGAGGAATTTTGGGTCAAAACTAGCCCAGAATGGACACTTGGTTCTCCATGATGAAGATGAGGAAGAATTTTGGGTCAAAAAACGCCCAAATTGGACACTTGAGTCGTGATGATGATGATGATGATGATGAAGATGAGGAATTTTGGGTCAAAACTAGCCCAGAATGGACACTTGGTTCTCCATGATGAAGATGAGGAAGAATTTTGGGTCAAAAAACGCCCAAATTGGACACTTGAGTCGTGATGATGATGATGATGATGATGAAGATGAGGAATTTTGGGTCAAAACTAGCCCAGAATGGACACTTGGTTCTCCATGATGAAGATGAGGAAGAATTTTGGGTCAAAAAACGCCCAAATTGGACACTTGAGTCGTGATGATGATGATGATTCACTCCATTGGTCATTTTTAGCCATTTTTTCCCATTTCCCCAGATTTTTATGACCCCACTTTGATGAGTGACCGCTCCGAGGTCCGGCCATGGCCTGGGATTGGTCAGTGCCCAGCGGTCACTCCATTGGTCACTCCAGTGGTCACTCCAGCGGTCACTCCATTGGTCATTTTTGGCCATTTTTTCCCATTTCCCCAGATTTTTACTACCCCAGTTTGATGAGTGACCGCTCCGATGTCCGGCCGTGGCCTGGGAGGGGTCAGTGCCCAGCGGTCACTCCACTGGCCACTCCGTTGGTCACTCCAGTGGCCACTCCATTGGTCACTCCACTGGTCACTCCAGCGGTCACTCCATTGGTCACTCCATCGGTCACTCCGTTGGTCATTTTTCCCTTTTCCCCAGATTTTTACGACCCGCAGCGCGACGCCGCCCCCGCGCACCGCTCGGACTGTCCGTGCTGCCGGCCGGAGCCGGGGTGGACGCGCCGGGAGGAGGAGGAGGATGATGAAGGACCCAAAAATGAGGACGAAGGCCCCGAGGATGAGGAGGAACCCAAATTCGAGGATGAAGGCCCTGAGGAAGAGGGGGGAGAAGCCAAAAACGAGGAAGAAAACCACGAGGATGATGAAGGAGAATCCAAAAACGATGATGAAGGCCCCGAGGATGATGAAGGACCCAAAAACGATGATGAAGGCCCCGAGGATGATGAAGGACCCGAATTTGGGGATGAAGGCCATGAGGAGGATGATGAAGAACCCAAAAACGATGACGAAGGCCCCGAGGATGATGAAGGTGGAGGCGATGAAGGCCCCGAGGATGACGAAGGTGGAGGAGGGGATGAAGATTAAGGGGGGGAGGGGCTGAGGAGGAGGAGGAGGGTGGGGAGGAAGATGATGATGAGGATGAAGACGAGGAGGAGTTTTGGGTCAAAAAAAGCCCAAAATGGAGCTTTGGGCCTCCATGAAGATGATGATGATGAAGATGAAGATGGCCTCCATGATGCTGAAGATGAAGATGAGGAATTTTGGGTCAAAACCAGCCCAAAATGGACACTTGGTCCTCCACGATGATGAAGATGATGAAGATGAGGAGGAATTTTGGGTCAAAAAATGCTCAAATTGGACACTTGGGTCGTGATGAAGATGGTGATGATGAAGATGAAGATGAGGAGGAATTTTGGGTCAAAACCAGCCCAAAATGGACACTTGGGTCATGATGAAGATGATGATGATGAAGATGAAAATGAGGAATTTTGGGTCAAAACCAGACCAAAATGGACCCTTGGCCCTCCACGATGATGAAGATGAAGATGAGGAGGAATTTTGGGTCAAAACCAGCCCAAAATGGACACTTGGGTCGTGATGAAGATGATGATGATGATGAAGATGAAAATGAGGAATTTTGGGTCAAAACCAGACCAAAATGGACACTTGGTTCTCCACGATGAAGATGATGAAGTTGGGGAGGAATTTTGGGTCAAAAAATGCCCAAATTGGACACTTGGGTCATGATGAAGATGAGGATGATGATGAAGATGAAGATGAGGAATTTTGGGTCAAAACCAGCCCAAAATGGACCCTTGGTTCTCTATGATGAAGATGATGAAGTTGGGGAGGAATTTTGGGTCAAAAAATGCCCAAATTGGACACTTGGGTCATGATGATGATGATGATGAAGATGATGATGATGAAGATGAAGATGAGGAGCAATTTTGGGTCAAAACCAGCCCAAAATGGACCCTTGGTTCTCCACGATGATGAAGATGAAGATGATGAAGACGACAATGAATTTTGGGTCAAAAAATGCCCAAAT